GTTGCCAGATATGTGTCCCGAGCCATCGCAGCCCAGCGTGGGGCAGCTGAGTATGTCGCGATCCTTCGTTAAGCTCGCTAGCAGGCTCGAGATGAAGCCATTCTCATCCGCACTGCCACTGCAAGCAATGACGACGCATACTATTATATAACTGCATTAATAATGTCGTTAAAAAATAAATATAAATAAAATAATAATATATAAATAATAATAATGTTAATAATAATATATAAATAATAATAAAAATGTGGTTTAAAAAAACAAAAACAAGTCAAATAATAATAATAACAATAAAAAATATAACAATCAAGAAACAATCCAAATAATCAAAGTAATAAGCAAAAATGGTATCATGAAATCGCTACTCGTACAGTATCGTACAGTATCGATATCGTATTGCTATCGCTACCGATCACGTGTCGCTGGCCGCACCGTTACTCACCTCGCGTCGGTGCACTCCGGGCTGCCCGGTGCCTGCCGCCGCGTGAGGGCAGCCACCGTAGCTGCGGCTCCCCACGCCGATGGCGGACGTGACGCCGCGGTAGTCCCAGGCAGCTCGTCGACGAGCATCGCATCGTCTCGGCGTATGCATCCGCTGTTGCGGCTGCTGCTGCTGCTGCTGCTGCTGCTGCTGCTGCTGTCCTGCTGCTGCGGCTGTTGCGTGCTGCTGCTGCTGTGTATGCTGACTGCGCTTGCGCGCAAGCTGCTGCCTGGCTGCTGCTGACGGGGCTGCGCTGCGCTGCTTGTGCTGACTAGCTGCTGCTGCTGCGGCTGCTGTTGCTGCGCTGCTTGCTGCTGCTGCTGCCGGCGTGGAGAGGGGCGGGCGCTGGCGGAGAGGGGCGGGTGGAGAGGGGTAGAGGTGGGCGTCGCGGCAGGCGGTGGCGGCGCGGGTGGGCGCCGCTCGGGGCTGAGGCGCGCGGGCGAGGCGGCGAGGGCCGCAGGCCCGGGCCAGCCGCGTCGGCGCTGCGGCCAGAACCGTGAGAACGCGGAGGGGCCGCACGGCCGCCACCAGGGGGAAGTCGCGTCGTCGTGCTCACGGGTGCGAGCGACGCGGCGCCGGTAGCGATGCATGCGGCGGCGGAGGAAGCATGCGGCATGTTTGCCGATGGCGCGCCGCGGGGCTCCCGGCTCGGCTAGAGCGCCGGCGGCTGTCGCGTGTGACGTCGCCCTATTTCATCAGGTTGCCAACCGCCTCCTGCGGGCTGGGGACTCTCCCTCGCCCCGCTGACCGCCCTCTCTCCCCCGCCCCGCCTCTCCCCCCGCCCCGCCGGCGTCGCTTCCTGCTTTGTTCCGCAGAGATAAATCGACCGGTTCGCTCTGCACGTTCTCCCGCCGTCGTTACGCCGCGGCGGCGCCGCTGGCTGCGCGGCTCGTCGCAGTGCTCGGCTGAGGTGAGAGGAGCCGTGTAGGGGGCAGCCGGGCGGCGGCGCGCAGGCGAACGCTCGTCGTCGTCGTCGTCGTCAGGTCGAGTCGCTTGCGCCCCGCGCTCGCGTGCGCCTTAGAGA